AACGCGGTATGTGCGCAGACCACCTATCTCGCTAAGGAGCCGGAACCCAGTCGTTTGGGTGGGAGCGGTAGTTCGGTGTCGGGAGTCGGTCTCGCACGCCACAGCCTCTTGCTGATGCTCAGCCTCCTCTCATGCGTGGCGCCTCTGTCCTGGCACATACAGCCGGCCGCTCCGTCGCACGTCCGGCTGGCCGCCAGCCTGTGCGTCGACGAGTTCACCGCGTTGCCGCTGCCGCTGCTGCCCGTACCCGGCTGGAAGCGCCAGGCGAGGGAGAGGGCGATCGACGAGTGGGCGGCGTCGAGGCGGGCGCTCCTCGCGAGCGGCGAGCCGCATGCCCTCATTGTCGGCCTCCGCGACGCGGCCGAGGCTGGCCGCTTCTTTGAGGGCGTGGACGACGGCCTCCTCGGCTTTGCTGAGCTGGGCCTCCTCCCGCCGCCGCCAGAGGGCCGCGCCGCGGCGGCGGAGCCGGCGGAGCCGGCGGGGGAGGCGATTGCGGGGGCGGAGGCGGCGACAGTGGCGGCGGAGGCGACGGCAGCGGCGGCGGCGGCGGCTGCAGCTGCCGAGCAGCCGATGTACCCTTATATTGCCAACGTCGCCGTCAGGGTTGGCGCGCGGCGGCTCGGCCTTGGCCGGGCGCTGGTGGAGGAGGCGGAGCGCACGGCGGTGGAGCTGGGCTTTGACCGGCTGTACATCAAGGTCGACCGGCAAAACTTTGGCGCGCGGCGGCTGTACGACCGGCTTGGCTATGAGATTTGCTACCTGCAGAACCGGCCGCCGGACCGGACAAACAAGCAGCGGCAGATGCTCTTCTTGAGAAAGGCGGTCGGGGCGGGGGCGGCAGGGGCGGGAGAGAGCGCGCGGGAGGCGGCTCGTACGTAGGAGGCTCTATTTGTGAGCTTGTCGGGAGAGCCAGCGTGCGGTCGCGGGGACGGCGAGAGGAGAGGGGAGCAGGGCGAGGGACAGCGACAGGCCACGGAGACAACAACGGTGTCAAGCCGTAGCCGAAGCGCTTGACAGCGCTCAGCGGTGTGTCTGCTTATGTGAGATCAACAAAAGAGTGCCACGCCAGCCGCCGCCGGGTCGCCGGGACGAGACATAAAGTTAGGCGACATACACCCAGACTGACCCACCTTCCCCCCTTGCCCCACCACCTCGTGTGTGTGTGGAGAAGTTTACCTTACCTTACCTTACCCACCTTCCCACGGCGCGCCGACCACACCCACAAAGAACCCCTGCACAAAGATCGCAAGGGCGGGGGGGACCTGTTCCTTTTTACCCATCTCACAGTAGAGAGGTGTCCGTTTTATTTATTTATTTATTTACCCACGGCGCGACAGCGCAGATATGTCATATGAGATAAGTATAGGAGAGCGCATGTGCGCATCACACAAAAGATCAAAAGGTACAGATGTCATCGCAAGATCACCGCTCGCTGCGCCGCGGTGAGAGGGGGGGAGAGCAGCGCCGCGACGTCCTCCCTCCGCACCGCGGGGTCGAGCCCCAGCCACGAGCGCGCGCAGCCGAGGCTCTCCTCGTCCTCCTCGGATGACGTGGCGTCGTCGAGCGCCGCGCGCGCGATCCTCGGGATCCAGTCGCCGTCGAGCCACGGGAGGTGATCCGGGGCCAGGGCGACGGCGTGGTAGTGCCACGAACCGAAGGTCGCGCTGCCCAGCAGCTCGGGCACCGCGGGGGAGCGTACCTTGCTCAAAAGCTGCGCCTCTCGGCCCGCGGCGGCCGCATCGCGAGTCGCCTTGACGCAGGCGTTGCGGCGCGTGGCGCGGTGCGTGCAGGTGGTGACGTAGTCGCCGCCGCCGATGCGTGTCCACTCCGTCCCGTTGCCCACGCCCAGGTCCACCGGAAGGGCGTCGGGAGGGGCGAGGTTCGGCGCAGGCGCTCGCGATAGTCTCTCCCACGTGCGCTCTGCCGAGAGCTCGTTGAAAGAGGTGGAGGAACCCTCGTCGAGCTCGGAGTCGGGAGGGCTGACGCGCTCGGACGAGGTGCGGCGCACGAAGCCACGCAGCTTTCGGAAGACGTCGATCGCCGACTTTGCGGCCACGAGAGGCGGCGGCGCGGCTGGCTTGGCGCGGATTTGAGGCGCCTCGGCCGACGAGGGACGGGGGCTTTGTGAGGCGCTGCCGGCTGGCGGCGGGCTGGCAGCGGCGGCTCGGCTGGGCGGCGACGGCGGCATGAGCCGTAGAACGAGGCGTCTGCCCCCCCCGGGGGGGGGGGGGGCGTCCCGGAGGCAGCGTCCAGGAACCAGACCGTTTTGAGTAACCGGAAAAGCCGCCGGTGGCATCTCTTTCCACCCAAGAAGCCCGTTTGGAGGGATGGGCGGCAGTGTGCGGGCGGTGAAGTGCTAGTCCTCTCATCAATTTAGAACGAAACGCCCCTCCCTCCCTTCTTCCTTCCCTCTATCCCTCTTGCTCTCTAACCTACTACCTAGACACAGACAGACTGCTCACCAACCAATCCTCTACCCCTCCCTCTCTCCCCATCCTAGACTCCCTCCACGCGTCCGATCTGGCCAGCCTGCGGCAAACATACTCGCGCGGGAGCATTTTCACTCTAGCTGAGGGGCTCGCTAAACGCTCGCCGAGCTCCATGCTGTGCAACACCACCTCCTCACTAATCGTCAGGGGCGCGGAGAGCGCAGTGCACTGCGGTGAGGCTGCGCAGCGGGGGCTCACCCCCTGCACCGCGCTCAGCGGCGCAGGGGAGGGGGCGGTCGGTGGCGGCGGCGGCGAGGCGCGAGGCGCAGGCGGTGGCGGCGGTGGTGCGGGCGGCGGGATGACAGGGGAGGCGGCGGGATTGACAGGGGAGGCGGCGGCCACGAGCGGAGCGGCGCGAGAAGGGGGGGGGGCGGCGGCGAGGCGCCGGTGAGCGAGGCGCCCGCGCCATATCAGAGGGACGCGCCGCTGCGAGATGGAGGGCGGCGGTGACGGAGGCGAGGCGCGAGGCGGCGGCGGCGGCGGCGGCGGCGGCGGCGGCGAGAACGGCGGCACCGAGTTTGTCTCGGCGAGCGGAGCGGCGGCGGGAGGAGGAGCAGCGGCGGCGCTCGCTCGCTGTTGACGGGAGCGCTTTTGAGCCTGGGACCCCATGCCACTGCGACCGGCGTGCCCGGGAACGGAGATCGCGCGCGCGCCGCCATTCACGACGCGCGCGCGATCTTCGCGGAGTCGGGTCCCCAGAGGGAAGCGGTCTTCTCGGCCGACGTCCAGCGGCGCGCAAGGAAGCAGGCGCAGCGGAGGCGGCCTAGCACCGGCTCGGCGCCGGGCGGTTGCGCTGCCCGCGAGCCGCGTCCTGAGCCTCGGCAGCGCGCTGCGCGGCGCGGCGCTCGCGCTGCTTCTGTGCCGAGAGCGGCATGATTCGCCAGCTGAAGCTCCAGACTCCTCGGGTCCGCGAGTTCTGGGGGTCACGATTTGCGCAGGTTGAGCGGAAATTGGCGTAAGCGTCTGAAAGCAGTCTTGGGTGGTCACGATTTCAACTCAGATTTCTTTTCTCGCGAGGTTCTCGAGGTGGATTTCCTTTGGCCGCGTTGGGTAGCGAGGATTGGTGTAACCCGAGCCACGGAGGCGTGTTTTCTGGCGGCCGCTGCCCGAGACCTAGCGCGGGTGGGTTGGAGGGGGCTCGCCCCGTTCCTCCCCATCGGGCCGCGTGAGCGGCCTCGCCTCGCAGATTCGTTTTTCGCGCCTGGGTCAGGCGCGCGGGGCATCCCCCGGGTCGCTCGACCCGAAGAGTGGCCGCTATGCGAGGGAAAGAGCGGGGCCCACGGGGTACGCCTCCGTCCGGCCCCCTCCGAGGGGGGAAGGGAATTGTGGGGTCCCCACGGGCGCCTCAGTTCGGCCCTCCCGAGGGGGGGGGGAGCAAGGGGGTGGGGGGGTCGGGGCGGTGGGGAGGGGTCTCGGTTTCATGTGGCTAATACTTGCCTTTCGGGGAGGGGCCTCCGGCCGTGCTAGCGCAGTGGCGCCCGCTCGACATCTTCCCCTCCTCCCTCGAGGCAGCGAGTAGGCAGCGAGAGGAAGTCTCGAGCGCCTATATGAAGGTATGTGAGATGGTGATGGGAATGGGTGGTCGGGCGGGCGGGCGGGCGGGCGGGCGGGCAAGCGGGGAGAGGCGGGCGGGCGGGGCGGATCGGGCGGGCGGGGTGATCGGAGAAATCGTAGCCACAATCAGCAGCAGCGGAGCAGCAGCAGCAGCAGCTTGTAGTCCATCATGAAATAAACTCAAAGATCCACCACAGCCACCACCCTCCGCCTCCACCGTCGAGCCGCGATCGCTGCCGCCCGCGACGCCGCCCGCCGCGTCAGATTGCCGCGACGCGCGCCTCGAGTCGAGTCGGAGAGCCGCGCCGCACCAGCAGCAGCATCAGCACCAGCAGCACCAGCACCACCAGCACCAGCAGCACCGGAGAGAGGCGCAACCTGCCCGACGCCACCGTGTCAGATGCTCCCGACGCGCGTCTCGAGCCGAGTCGCAGAGCCGCGCCGCGCCAGCAGCAGCATATGCACCAGCAGCAGCAACATCACCACCAGCAGCAGCACCAGAGAGAGACAGTGCAGTGTGACAGCAGCGCAGAAGCGCTCGCAGAGCGGTGCGCAGCGCCGCGCACGCCATGCCGCGGGTGGTCGGACGAGCGCAGCGTACGTCGGCCGCGAGCCGCGTCGCCAGCCGTCTCGCGAGAGAGCGGCGCCGCCGCGTGCGCGCAGCAGCCGCCGCGGCAGAGGCGAGCCGCGGCGACGGCCGCACAACCGATAACTGGGCCGGTGGAATCCTTTGACGCGGGCCCAAACCGCACTATACGAATTCTACGAATACACAAGCCCCTCTCACAGCAGACTGGCACGGACTAGCACCACAAAAGGCACAGCAGACAACGGCCCCTTATGGGCCGTCGAAGAGGCCGTCATACTCCTCCGGCCTCGCCCCCCCCTCCCAACCCTCCCCTGCGCCCTGGCTCAGGCTCCTCATCCTCGCGGCGCGCAGTGCGCACCCCGCCCCGCGAAGACGAGCCCTTCCGCCGGCGTGCCTCCCGGGACACAAGTCCAGATAGGCAGATTTCTTTTGTCCATTTCCGCGAACAGTCCAAACTAAGGGTCGCGCGCCGTCACCGTCCCTTTCTTCAGCGGCGCCTTGCTACTTGCTTGCTTGCGCGAGCGCGTCAAAAAACCAACCACGTGCTTGTTTTAGCATGCTGCTGCCTCACCGGCTCGAGACTCGGTGGCGACCACGTCCGCACGTGGGCCCGGGGGCGCCCACAACCGTACAACACTCAACAGTCCTTACTGGACGCTCAGCTCCGAACACAGCACGCGCGACGTAGGTACGACCTTCGTACACATATATTGCAAAATACCATGTGAGCGAGATCGTCTGTGCGCTGGGCCGAACCCGAAATCCGAACGGGTCACTCACTCACCGCCCGGACCTTCTCGAGCTCCGCGTCGCGCGCCGCCACCGTCCCCTTCAGCTCCGCCACCTGGTCGAGCGCGTCGCCGAGCAGCCCCTTGGCCACGCCAAAGTCGCGCAGCTGCTCCACGCCGCCGCTCGCCCGCACCTCGGCGGCGTGGTCGGCCACGTAGCGGCGGCACTGCGCGAGGAGCGGGCGCCCGTCGCCCATCGTGTGCGCCGCCTCGAGCAGCGGCACGGCGGTCGCCGGCGCGACGCTCTCCTGCAGCGCTTGCGCGCATAGCAGCTCGAGGCGCGGCACCCGGTACATCTGCGCCAGCTCCCGCAGGTCGAGCGCGCGCTGCGCCCTGCCGCCCTCCGCCTCGCCGAGGTCGAACTGGTCGGTGAGGAGGTAGCGGACGAGGGCGGTGAAGCTGGCGAGGTCGGTGTGGGCCACCGTGACCTCGGCGGCGTCGCGCTCCTTCATGCCGATGCCAAACATGGTCCGAAAGACCGGGGACCGGGCGCAGAGGTTGCACTTGCTCACGTGCTCGATGCGCTCCTTGTCGTCGCCGACCAGGAAGGTGACCATGCCCTGCGGGAGGGAGGCGTCGCCCCACGTGTTGGCCATGTCGGCGGAGAAGGTGGAGGGCGGAACGACGTTCGGGGAAAAGGAGGGAGGCGGAGGAGGCGCCGCCACGCAGACCTGGCGGAGGCCACCGTCCGAGGCAACCAACAGCGTGCTGCCGTCTGGGCTGATGGCGACTGCGTCTGGTCCGTTGAGCTCCGCCGCGTCGCCCACGCCATCGACGCTGCCACTGGTGCCGCTGCCCGCGATCGTCGTCACCTCTCCAGTCGCCACCTCCACCCGCCGGATCTTGTGGTTCTCGAAGTCTGCCACAAACAGCGCGCCCCCGTCGGGGCTGATGGCGATGCCACGTGGGTAGAAGAACTCCGACGCTTCGCCCACGCCACGGCGTCGCCGCTGGTGCCGCTGCCCGCGATCGTTGTCACAGAGCCCGTCGCCACTTCCACCCGCCGGATCTTGTGGCCGGTGAAGTCCGCCACAAACAGCGCGCCGCCGTCTGGGCTGATGGCGAGGCCAAGTGGGCCGCAGAACTCCGCCGCGTCGCCCACGCCATCCGCGTCTCCCTCGTCGCCGCTGCCAGCGATCGTCGTCACCGCGCCAGTCGCCACCTCAACCCGCCGGATCTTGTGGTTGCCGAAGTCCGCCACAAACACCGCGCTCCTGTCTGGGCCGAGGGCGACGCCGGTTAGGCAGTCGAACTGCGCTGCTTCACCGACGCCATCCGCGTCGCCAGCCTCGCCGCCTCCAGCGAGCGTGGCCACCGCGCCAGTCGCCACCTCAACCCGCCGGATCTCGTCGTTGCTCCAGTCCGCCACAAACACAGCGCTCCCGTCTGGGCTGATTGCGATGCTGTTGACTCCACTTGCCGGCAAGGCTGCCACGCGGCGCACGCGCCCGGCCGCCGAGACGTGCAGCAGCGAGTCCTTCGTCGAGACGTACCAGGCGCCCGCGTGATCGCTCGCGGCGCCAACCTCACCGAGCGATAGAGGGCCGTCCTCGCCCTCGAGCGCCAGCGTGGTGACCTGTCCGACGACGCGCGCGCCAAAGATGGGCGCCTCGAAGCCATCCGCGACCGGCACGGGCTCCTCGCCCTCCTCGCCGCCGCCGGTGCGGGCGCGCTTGCGGGCGGAGGACGCCACTGCCTCTCTCTCGGCTGACAGCTGACGTACGAACGTACCGGGAAATCAAAACGGTGTGCGGGAGCGCGCTCCTGT